TTATGATAACATGATTTATCGGGTAACAGTTTTTTTTGGCACACTTTCATAATAGGAAGGTGCTTTGTTTATAAAAAAGAAAACATAATCATGTGCCTGGAAAACTTTCATAATAATACTTGTATAGAGATGTGTTATCTTAGGAACATATCTTCGTCACATTAAAAAGGTTAACAAGAAGAATCGTGAGCCACGAATTTAAGGCCTTGTTTAGTAGGACTCATCCGGAGGAGCCGAGCAGTTTCAGAGGCTCGTCCAAAATGGCTGTGGCTTCCTTTTTCACTGGAAAACGGCTCGTGTCTCCTCCAAAATGCTTCGGCTCCATCACGCGTGCACCTTTTGTTACTCAGCTACCTACCTACCTACCTTGCCGGCCTTGTATTATTTGCAGCTAGCTAGCTATAGTAAAAAAGTGATTTTTTTTTTTTGTCGGTGAGAAATTTCGCTGTTGATCAAGAGTACACAGTCAGCGGTTGAATTGAATTGATCTGATGAATCATGAACATACGAAGACCGTTGTTACCTGTGTTGGTACGTGTTCAGTTACGGTACTGTCCGGGCGTCCAGCATGCAGTTAAATGTGCTGCAAACAGCCGGCTAATGTGGATTATATTGCAGCTCGACGACTAGATTCTTAACCACACAACTTTTGACTTTATTACTTGAATTAGTAGCTAGATGACTAGCTGATGCATAAAGTGGTCAGCATCAGCATCCAGTAAACCTTGGTTTTTCAAACCCTTCCGAGGACCGGTAAAAGTGAAGTTGGAAACGCAGCAAAGTGATTTAAGGTTTGAAAATATATAGCAAACAGACAAAAAACGCTTTCTCATACGAAAAGCTGTGCCGAGACTAGCTATGGTGCACGGCGGGTGCAAACAGCAAAGTGTTCATTTTTTTTTTGCGAGGAAAACAGCAAAGTGTTAATGCTAGATCATCCCAACAAACTAATAGAATTTGGATCGAGTGCATGCACCTGACATGTTGTCTGTTAAGACTTCGTTGTTTTGTTAGAAGTTGTGAGCGAGAGAAAAAAAAATGGATCGACGCAAATGATTGTTGTTGCATTCTTTGAACAGTTAGGTACATATTGTTAGATATTGTCAAAAAATTTAGGCAAATTTAGTACTAATTTAATCAGCATGTTTGTGGCATCAGAAAACTGTATGTGTAATTTAGTCACAAAAAAGTTAAGAGCATGATACAAATCATGGGTTCAAGGTTCAAGCACACAAAATAAAAGGCGGGTCGGCACAGCAGCATACCCAGTGGTGCCAGAACCGTTTCCGCTAGTCGACATAGCGTTTGTTGATTTAGTCGTCCCACTGGTCACAGTGCAGATCACCACCACCACGGAGCCGTCAGGAGGAATAAGTCACTGAGTCGAGCACTCACGTCTCCTGAAAGATGCTCCCCAAAAACCTGATACCGGCCTGCTCTTCTTGTTCCTGTGCGCACAAGGACCAGAACAGAGATCCTCGGGTTGCAGCAGAAGTTGTGGAGATATGTGTGCAAGAGAGAAGGCATGTTGCCGAGAGGTGCCTCCTATTTCGCTCTCTCCCGTAGAAGACCAGAAGTCTCTTGAAAGTCTAGCGGACTAGGCATCGTAGTGTCGGGTACGGGAGAGAAACTCATGGTAGAAATAGAAACTCCCGTAACTCCGTCATCACGAGCAAAAGCTCCCGAAACTCCTATCATGAAATGGCCCAAGTGGCAAAACCAACCCTGGTCTCGCACAACATCGAATCATGTCGTGACCGAGGAAGCCGGGATGCCAATGTGCAGCGCAGCCCCCTATGTGCAGCCGCGCCATGTAGTCGGCTGGTCGCTGTGACTTCGCGCACAAGTGCAGAGATGCCTAATTGACGGCCAAGCCCAGCCGGACAGTCAACCGTCGATTAGCCTGACCGGCAGAGCCGGGACTGGTGGATGGTGGGCGACGCCGCGGCGCGCGGGGCAGCAGCAGTTGGCGGTGCGAAGGAGATTGCGAGGACTAGGCACGGGCGAGGGAACGAGTGCCAAGAGCTGCAGCCCTCTGCCTTGCGAAGGAGATTGCTTCACTGCAGCTTGTTGGGCTGAATTGTGTGTAGTACTTAATTAGTAATAACTAAGGGTATGTACAATGCAAAGACGCTTACGTGATGCTTAAAAAAATTTCATCATCTACCTATGCAATGCGTGTCCTAGCCTACAATGGAATCAATATAGGTGCTTAAATGTTTGGCTATAGGAGCCTGTTTAAGCGTCTACCTATGCAATGCGTGTATGATTTATTTTACGCTAATATTTAACAAGCCTCGAAGCACCGGCTCCCGGTTTCAGTAGATGCACGGTCCAAGCGTCGACCGTCTGGTGGAGCGCCTTTCCAGGCTGCAAGCGGCGCTGATGCTTCCACCGTGTCAAGAAAATTAGTTAATTGACGCTTAGCGCCGCCTAAGCGCTCCGCAATGTACGTGGCCTAATAACACGACTCGACTATGGTTCCAATGTGACTCTTCCTTAATTGTAACGTTTTTTTGAACACGACACGACTATGATAACGTGATTTATTGTGTACCATTTTTTTTGGCACACTTGTTGATTTATGCGCAGTTTTTTTAGTGTCAACATGTGCCTTGTTTATGAAACATAAACATGTGCCAGGAAACTTTCTTAACACTTGTATAGAGAAGTTTTATCTTAGGAACATATCTCCGTCACATTAAAAAGGTTAACATGAAGAACCGTGACTCAGGAATTTAAACATTTTCATGTGAATAGCATGACCGGTGAGGCACGCCCGTGATGTTAATGATTTATTTTTTGTGGCCGAAATTTTCTTCTTTACCTAATTATTTTAATTATTTCATTGTGTATTTTAAAAATCAAAACTAAGGCCTCAGATTTTTAAAGTTTACCTCTTATGAGGTAACCGGAGTAATGTAGCATAGCACATTTGAAAGTACTGTACTGGCTCTCTTATGGTTAGCAAAGGCAAGAGAAAGCACGTCTTATATTATGGGACTAGATTTAAAAGTGGTTACACGACCGAGGGAGTAATAATAGATAACAAGAAATACTCATGTTATACTCGCCTTCCTTTTACACTTTTCTCACACAATGTGCGACTGCTTAGAGGATCTTCAGTCTTTATCTTATGTTCTTCAGCTTTCGGTCTTCATTCAGGTCTCACAAACAATTCCATGTGGCGGGGGCCGGTGGCATTGCTGGCCCAGCGTGGCCAGCCACCCACTCGATTATTCGGCGGGCCACTCAGTGCGACCACGTGCTCATATTCTTGTTCGTCGGTGGCACCGTTGTCGCTGGCCCGGCACGGCCGGCCACTCGCTCACGCGGCAACCACGCTTAATAGCATGGAAGGGATTTAGTGACAAAAGGGACTCGAGCCGACAACCACGCGTTTTCCATAGTTTTCGCGTGAGAATGTTTAAATTCCTGCATCACGCGAATAGCATGACCGGGTGAGGCACGGCCGTGCTGTTAATGATTCATCTTTTGTGGCCGCAATTAATTTTCTTCTTTACCTAGTTATTTCATTGTGTATTTTAAAAATCAAAATTAAGGCCTCAGATTTTTGAAATTTTACCTCTTATGAGGTACCCGGAGTATTGTAGCAAAGCACACTTGAAAGTATTGTTCTCTCTTATGGTTATCAAAGGATTTTGTGGATATAGATAATGTATTACTAGTATAGAAATGATTTTTTATAGGCGTCTCCTATTTCCTTTGAAGAACGGTTTACTTAGCAAACGTTTTAACTGGCTCTGAGAGCACTGTAGCTTATAAACCATCCCTAAAAATACATTTTTAGGGGCGATTTTTGTTAATTAAATTGTCACTGAAAATATATCTATTTTCAAGGATGGTCATTTTAAGAGAACCATTCTTGAAAATATAATTTCCAGAGACGGTTACTTGTGTCAACTACGTCTTAAAATAGGTCATTTCTAGGGACTGTTGAATTAAGCCAACCGCCCTACAAATTATTTTTTAAGGACGGTTCTCTTAGAAAAAAAAATCATCCCTGCAAATCAATTTGTAAGGATAGTTTTAAAACCGTCTCAGAAAGTAAACTATTTTTTATAATCGATGGAATAATAACGGTTTTAATGATTGTGTTTTTGACCATCTATAAAAAAAACATTCATGTACTAGTGTATTACCGTATGATAAATTAAATTCGACTATACCAAATTATATGAACCATGACCTATATATAATGAAATGAAGTACTCCCTCCGGTTCTCTAAAGCAAGTCGTTTTGGACATCGACACGGTCTTTAAGAAACGACTTTGACTACAACTTTTTGCTATAAAATATTTATAAAATATAGTCAATATATACTTTTATGAAACTATATTTCGAGATGAATCTACTTACATCACTTTCATATTTTTAAACTCAACCTAAAAGAAGTTATTTGTAGTCAAAGTTTAAAATGTTTGACTTAAGACAACCTCAAAACGACTTACTTTAGAGAACCGGAGGGAGTATATTTTGACTCGGAATGTTTAATTTACTTGAACTGTGGACGTTTGAGGCTGTGAATACACACTACATATGACTGCAGACGATGGGTCAATTCAGCAGCTTGACGTACCCCAAAGATGTTTACATTATTAAATATTATATATTGTGTAGTTTTGGCACATGCTTCATTCGTGCTATACTATATGCAAAGATGCCATTAATGCTTGAGCTTGACTCCCGGCCTTCGTTCGCGCTGACGAAGTCAACTCGCTTCATCTGCAGCTTCCTTCTCACCTACTCCGTACCTCCGGAATCCGCGTCCACGACCCATGCAACGCCTGCTTCGCCACGCCGCTTCACTTCCTAGCTTCCCGGCCCGCTCCCCGTCCCCTATATATAGCTAACCCTAACTCACCAAGTAAACAGCTCTCTGTACGTGTCTAACGAGTTCTGAGCTCAATTTGCCTCGAATTCTTCATCTCTGTCTAATTCTGCTAGCTAGTCAGCTAACAAAGATCCTATAACAACAATGGGCAGCTTGGACACCAACCCTACCGCCTTCTCCGCCTTCGGCGACGACGCCTCCGCCGGCTTCCAGCCGCTGAACCCCGACGACGTCCGCTCCTACCTCCACAAGGCCGTCGACTTCATCTCCGACTACTACAAGTCCGTGGAGTCACTGCCCGTGCTGCCCGACGTCAAGCCGGGGTACCTGCGGAACGAGCTGAGTTCCGCGCCGCCCACGTCCTCAGCCCCGTTCGACGTCACCATGAAGGAGCTCAGGGCGTCCGTCGTCCCGGGGATGACGCACTGGGCCAGCCCCAACTTCTTCGCCTTCTTCCCGTCCACCAACAGCGCCGCTGCCATCGCCGGCGACCTCATCGCCTCCGCCATGAACACCGTCGGCTTCACGTGGCAGGCCGCGCCCGCCGCCACCGAGATGGAGGTCCTCGCGCTCGACTGGCTCGCGCAGCTCCTGCGCCTGCCGTCCAGCTTCATGAACCGCACCGGCGCCGCTGGGCGCGGCACAGGCGGCGGCGTCATCCTGGGAACCACCAGCGAGGCCATGCTCGTCACGCTCGTCGCCGCGCGTGACGCCGCCCTGCGCCGGAGTGGATCCCAGGGCGTGTCCGGCCTGCCGCGCTTGGCCGTGTACGCCGCGGACCAGACGCACTCCACTTTCTTCAAGGCGTGCCGTCTCGCCGGCTTCGACCCTGCCAACATCCGCTCCATCCCCACCGGCCCGGAAACGGACTACGCCCTCGACCCGGCGAGGCTGCTCGAGGTCATGCAGGCCGACGTCGACGCCGGCCTCGTGCCGACCTACGTCTGCGCCACCGTCGGCACCACGTCGTCCAACGCCGTCGACCCTGTGGGAGCCATTGCCGACGTCGCCGCCGTGTTCAACGCCTGGGTGCACGTCGACGCTGCCTACGCCGGCAGCGCGTGCATCTGCCCGGAGTTCCGGCACCACCTCGATGGCGTCGAGCGTGTCGACTCCATCAGCATGAGCCCGCACAAGTGGCTCCTCACCTGTCTCGACTGCACGTGCCTGTGGGTGCGCGACACGCACCGGCTCACCGACTCGCTGGAGACCAACCCGGAGTACCTCAAGAACGACGCCAGCGAGTCCGGCAACGTCACCGACCTCAAGGACATGCAGGTCGGCGTCGGCCGCCGCTTCCGGGGCCTCAAGCTCTGGATGGTCATGCGCACCTACGGCGCCGCCAAGCTCCAGGAGCACATCCGCAGCGACGTCGCCATGGCCAAGATGTTCGAGGACAGTGTCAGGTCCGACGACCGGTTCGAGGTCGTGGTTCCCAGGAACTTCGCGCTAGTGTGCTTCAGGATCAAGCCACATGGCGGCGGCATGACGGAGGAGGACGCCGACGAGGCCAACCGTGAGCTCATGGAGTGCCTCAACAGGACAGGGAAGGCGTATCTCGCGCACACGGTGGTTGACGACAGGTTTGTGCTGCGGTTCGCAGTGGGTTCGTCGCTGCAGGAGGAGAGGCACGTCCGGAGCGCGTGGGAGCTCATTAACAAGACTACCACTGAGATCATGCAGGACAAGATCGTTGCGGCCGTGGAGTAGTAGTAGTATCATATATTAAATTATTTATTATTTATTGTCGTCCATGAGCGAGTTACTTTGATTGATTTATGTTTGATTCGTTATTGTTTGCCAAAGGAGGAATAATAAAGCCAATTAAAGATATATTTTGTCCAAAGGACGAATATCACATATATTATTTTCTCTAGCTAAATTGAAAATGTGAGGCATATATATATGATAATTCAAAAAAGTCAAACATATATACAGTATATAAAAAAACTCTGACCGTTTGTTCAGTCAAAAATATATGCATGTTTAGTGCACAAAGATCCGAAAATCATTTTTATATTACTGATGGAAGTGTGACTTGGCAAGCTGATTTTGAACTTATGCCGCTGATAAGGTTCTCTGTGGTCAAACCTATCCATTCAGGGTCAAATCGTCGACTTGGTATGGGTACTAATGGTTTGTTCTTTTAGTGATAGAGAACGTGCTTGTCAAGGTGAGTGTGCGATCATTGCATATATTTATATGAGTGTTTGTACCTGATTTGGAAAAGAAAATCTTATTCTGAACTGTCAACAGTGCTCTACCAGAGCAGGACTTTTTCCTGACAGCCAAGAACCGTCAGGAAAAGCTTAAAACCGTCAGGAAAAGTATTCCTAACAGCTGGCCGTCGGGAAATGCCTGACAGAACAGCTCGACAGGAATAACCTATGTTTCCTGACGGCCAGCCGACAGGAACCTTTCACTGATGGCAATTCCAGACGGCTTAGGTTTGATCAGTCAAACCCGAAACCTGGCACCATAACCGTTAGGAGTTGCAGTCAAGAAATATAAACCGATAGGGATAGTCTTGTCCTGTCTTGATGTTTAAGCCGACAGGAAATCTTGTCTGGCTATCAGAAAATTAAATCAATTTGAAATAAATTTACTGTGCATTTAATCTGTCAATTCTAGATGCTCATACATCCACTCACAGACCACATTACACAAGTTAACACAAGTGATCCCTGAAACTAGTAATTCATTACCATCTCACATGTCCCATATCCAAATATATAGATCTGTACTGCAGATTAGTAAGATAGGAATACAGCCATATGACAGCTCTTATACACTATTGGTTTAGAGCAGCATGCAAGCCTTTACTACACAACAAGTCCAGCTCCTAAATAGAGTGGATAGGAACATGTGGACTGCACAAAACAAAAGTCCTTGCTTGGAGTTGATATCACTGAACAGCATGGAGTGACCCAATGACCTACAAGGAGCAGAGTTATAGATTATGCACTCTCCAAAAATGAGAAATTATCTTAACCAGTACAAGACAGCCAGATCAAAATTTTAAAGCAACAAGCATTGGTTCAATTTTTTAGCAGTGTTTGGTGCAAATTAGAGACAAATAGGAACAGACAAAATGAGGGAGGGTATGTGCACTTGCAGTTCCAAGTTATCTACTACAGAATGTATTTGAAATAATGGAAAATGGAAAGAAATTTAGAGGAATTGCATGTAGCAAGAGACAACTACTTCTGAAATGCACCAAGAGACATTGTGCCAATCAGACAAAACTCTGTTAAATGTGCAGGTAGTTTTAGATTTTTAAACTGACGAGATTAGCAAGGAAATATTTGTACATAATTGTAGCTGGTCACTCCATTTTTTCCTTGTTTAAATTGATCAGATATAACTTAATTTTAAACCTACTCGCTTGGTGTTTCACAAGCATTTGTTGCCTGCAGGACGACTTCACTATTATTAATCTTATACCTCTAGCTGAAATTGCACCGCATGTTTTTTATTGAGACATAAAATCTGGCAAGCTTATTTTGATATAAATCTGACAAGCTTATTTTGAGCATTTCATGTCCTGTAGGACTGCACTAAGTATCTCCTAATCACAACTATGGACAAATTGAACAAGTTCATAAAGATCATGGAAATAGTGTTTTAGCTATCTGTCATTGCAAAAACACACTAACAAATAAAGAAAGCATCAGTTTCTGAACTAGTCAGGTCAAGTTCATCAGTTTCTTGCTAGGTGTGAGAAGTAAAAGAGAGAAATTGTAGGTTCATACTAGTCAGAAGGGTAAAAAATCACAACATAAGCAGGCTATTTCAAATCAAACACTTCTGTACTTCAGTCCGTGACCGTGAGACGCAGAAACCAGTGGCAATTAATCTCTTCAGATGCAGCAGTACTACGACTCAAGTAACAGGATAAAGAGAGGAATCAATCACCTGAGATGGAGATGGCTGTGCCAGGCTTCAGTACGTGGTGCAGACGACAGTTGAAGATGACCTCCGCCGACTTCGCAGCCCTCCAGAAGCCTAGGGTCATGGATCTGCACGCTCTCACCTACCATGAAGAAGAAGATGGCGGCGGAGTCGTGGTTCTGCCCGCTCTTGCACATCTTGAGGAGAAGACGGTAGAGGGGTCACAGATCTGACTGCCCTAACCTAGGGCACCACTGGGCTGGGATGCGAGGGGGCGCCGCCGACAGTGGACGTGGTTGGATTGGGTGGGGCGCATGTGGGCGAAGGAGATGAGCGGGCTGCAAGGTGGCGACAGAGATGAACGGGTGAGGCTACGACGGAGGGGCCAATGCGCCGCATGGAGGGGTCGATGTGCTGGGGTGCGGCGCTGGCGGAGTGGGGAAGGGTCAACTGTGGGATTGGGTTTGTTTTAGGGTTTGATACTTGAGTGTGTACTAGGGACGTGGGCCCAGGCATTTTTTTCACCAAGAAATTTTTCGTAGCCCGCCAAGAAATTTTCATTCCTAACGGATTTTTTTTCAGCTGTCAAGAATTCATGGACGTCTCCTGTCGGTTTAGTTGAACTCCTGACGGCTATAGAGAACCGAGAGGAATAATATCAACTTCTCCGAGGACTAGTACATATTCCTGTCGGTTTAATAAAAACCGACGGGAATTATCAAAACCGTCCGACATAATCCTGAGTCTGCTAGTGTTGGAGGTAGTTTGCACGTTTTTTATGCCGGCAACATAACCTAGCGTGTAATTTTCATCAAGGGTAGGATCCAGTGCTCCTACAATTTTCCCCATCAACAAAGGAGAGGAAGAAGAAAAAGAGGGAGAAGAATAGTAAAACGAGTAGGGAAGTGGAAGCATTGAAAACGTTTAGTATGGCAAGTATGCCATCCTTCTGCGCTCCTCTTCCTATATATGATTTGGCCGTGAAATACATCATTGCCGGTTCCCACATAACCGGCGGTGAAAATCCGTGCCTCTGGTCTATGCAACAAGACCATTAGCAAAATAACAACCTATATCATTAATTCATTATTGCTACAAAATATTGTGCCTTGCACAACAATGTTGATGAAGATCTTAAGGAGATTTCGAACAGGGAGGATCGAGCTCTCAAGAGGACCCAAAGTCAGCCATCCATTTCTGATGCATTTTTATGTCTTCAGGCGAGCCACTCCTCTACACCTTGCTTACAGCCTCCACAAAGTCCTGCTTGGCCAGTAGGTCATAGGCTACTTCCTTCACTATGTCTATGTTCATCACCTTATCGTTGGTCTTGCCTGCCATCTTGTGCCGCATATTGTTCATTGAAGCATCACGATAAACATTTATCTACTCATCTCTGCTACAGCCTTCTGTCTCCCAGGCAACCTCATCGATGTTAACATCTTAGCGATCTGTCCGTGTAAAAGGAATTGAAGTACAACAATAATCCACTAGAATGAAAGATATAGAGTCGTGATTATTGATAATTCAAATATACCATGCATCAAACTTTTTTTTGAATCTAATTAATGTACGATGGAACAATTTTTTGATGATACTTGGGCGAAAAATTGTTCTAGACTGCACAATTTGCGAAAGTAGTGCACGTCGCAAGTGTTCTAGCCATGCATTCAATAGTTTTCAATTATTTTTTCTAGGTTTTTGTGCCAATGCATATTAACAACCACTGGGCTCTCGTAGTGCTAGATTTTATAAAGACAGAGGTACAGATCCTTAACTCTTTAGGCGTCAAATCAGGAATGCGAAACAAAGATCTAGAGAAGGCATTGGTAATCAAACTTAACATGTATCTCACCTATTGTGTATTCAACTACAACTATAGGTTAATCAAACTTAACATGTATCTCCACTAGGTGTAAGGCATACAGTCATGCATTGACTCTTCGGTCAAGAAAGACTTAAATTTGAAAAACCAATTAACTTGTGTGACTGGGAAATAGTTCCCTATCATAACATACCACAACAAGAAGACACTCTTTTTTCTTTGTATATTAATGTTGTACTCCAATTACTTATGTTTATGTTCTGTTGCAGTCATTCACGTGGGGTGTTTGTAATAAAATATATGCTGGCATGGGACGAAGAACAAATGGCTCAAGATTTCACAAATGTGAGTCTTACAATTATTGTCAATTCCAAATTGCTACAGACCAAAACAAAAACTCCTATGTGATGTGCACTACTTTCGCTTGTATAGACAGAAGTGGAAAATTTTAGCTTCAGAATATGCACGAGGCTGCTCCATTCTGAGCGTAACCTGAAACACTTGCACTCATACGAAAAACCTTTCATGGTCTACGCTTTTATTGCATATTAAAATCTTTCTGTTGCAACAACTTGTTCTAGACACAAAATAACCGGGTCTATCTAACATTTTTTGTTGATGATACATAGGTGGAAGAGTACTTTGCGAACAATCCAGAGGAACAACGGGGGCACGAACAGGATGAAGATGCAGACGATGTGCAGATAGTATCGCCATCAATGAGAACTCCAACAACCTCTGCGGCTAGCACGAAAGTACCTCCAGCATCCTCTACACCTAGCATGAAAGGAAGTAAAGGAAGGAAAAGAACCGAATGGAGCGGAAGAAAATACAACATCAGGAGGAGGGGAAGCAAATACAACATCAGGAGCTAAAAATAGGAAAGGAGGACGAGGACGACCGCGAAAGATTGACCAAACTCCCCACTAAAACTGTTGTGGACCAATTCAGCACCAAATATATGTCTAAACGGGCTAAACGAGCGCGAGGCACA